CTAATTGATCATAGCAATACCTCTACTTAGACCTATAAATATCAGCCGGAATATAAACTGATTGATAAATGGGCCCTCGTTTCATCCATAAACAGCAACTTTTTCATATTTAGAAAGAAAACACCATATCCTCTCCTCTCTAGGAAACACAGCCTCTCGGATGCAGCATTTCCTATAAGGGAACAGGGAAAAAGAAGGTCATAATAGCTCAGAAAGGGCGAAGGAAGTCGAAAATTGGACGTGTAGTCGGAGAAAGCAGAAAATGATAGTAATACAAAACGAGGCAAGGAAGTTAGACATCCTTGATGCGAAGTTCTTACGATCAGTGCCACCTGTCCGCCATTAGATGGAGGTCGGCTCATTATAAGTCGAAATAATTGCTATATCCCTATTAACTGGGGCTAGACCCCCACATGGTGATAAGGGGGTACACGAGAGCAGGCGAGTTTTCTCCACACCATCTACAGCTTCAGGATTTCATTGGGGAAGGAGGCTGAAAATCATGTGTGCATACTTTGATAAAACAAGTCATTTGTCTTGTGCGATAAGTATACAGTCCTTATCCACTGCTGTGTGGGATTCAAATCTGTAGCATTTATGCAATTTCATTTCAATTTTCGGTCAGTTTTGAATTAAATTGAATTGTTGTGTCTGGTAGAATTTCATACACTCATATAGATTTAACAATCTTGAAGAAAAATCACAATTACTAGATTTTTGAATGATGAGTATTTTTTTTAAACTCTGGGGAATTTCAACTCATTTCCGACTAGGGCAATTCATTATTTTATGACAGTTTAAGCAAGTATGGATAGATGACAAGCTGATAATGTTGACAGGTTTAAGAGGAAAGAAATCCTAATGTAGGTTCTAAGATTCTAGATGTCAGAGCAGGTAATGAAGAAAGGGTTCTCAGGTTCTAACCCTCATAGTCATACATATTTTACTTCTTTAGTTTCCTTTACAGTTTCATATAATTTTATATCAGTTGATTTTAAATTTGTGAACTTTACTAAATCGAATGTTCACACTTTTCGAAATAGTAGAAATGTGCACAATTTGTGAATGCTTTGCCAAAGTCGCGTTCATGAGCCAGATTCATGGCAATATAGAAACACCCGCTACAGAGAATTAAATTTTTGGAACCGAAGACAGGGAAATGGAACTGCTTTCGACTTGATCAGAATTGACTAAAAGAGCCATCAGTGGAGTCGCCCATATCCTTCAATATCAAAATGTCGTCAGGAAAAACTCGCATGGAAAATGGCCCTCCAAATCCCGTGGGAAAGCAGTAATTTCTTCAGTAGATTATTGGCGGATGATTGGTACACTGGAGGTCGAGGAGGGCCTGCCCCAGCCCTGATGACCAAACGAGACGACCTTGACAGAATGAGGGATCCTGCAGGGTTAATATTGCTCAGGAACCTGGCAGGATAGGTCAGTGCGGTTATGAAACTGTCACGATGCCATCAAATATTTCATCCAACGTACCCAGTCCAATATAATTGCCAGTGAGCATTTCTCTTGTGTCCCTGCATTCAGTGAGGTAACCCAAACAATCTTGGCATATTAACCCAACCTCATATCGATTTGTAGGATTCGAACACCTTGAAAGAAGCAGTTGCATTTCAATTATGGTGAAGATTTGAAATGATTTAAAATGTTTTTAAAAGTCCTTTAATTTAAGGTTTTATTCTCTAAAAACAAAAAAAATCTTTATTATTTTTTACTGAAGATTTAGTTTTAAAATTCGAAAATACAAAACTGCTTGGGGCATTTGAAAGATAACGTAAGGGAAGTAACTCCTTCCACCTCTGCTGGCTCTGTCATGGACAATATGTCACATCTCCCTTCACCCTGCAGACATAATACAAACTTATTTGAATTGGTTGAATTTGAAATACGTGACTGGAGAAATGGGTAAAGTTTGTTAATGTTATAAGCCATCTGTTCACATGGAAAGGTTATAAAAACTCTCATCCAATGACAATAATGATGTCGCACAGTTTGTGAAATACAACAAGAAATGATACCTTGCATCACATCCTTACTGGACCAAAACTCAACTTTGCATAGAAAGTTGTCTGTAATTTTTTGCCTATCAATCAAGGCGGACAAGCTCAATTGAAATTTGCACCATTTAGCATAACTAGAGAACGCTTTCACTAATGAGCATTCAGGAGGGAGAAAAATTTATTTGCACAAATTGTTGAGCCAGTGTTATGTCAAAGCCAATATTGTAGCTTATGGGTCATGTAGCTTACATTAACAAGGGATAATGTGCTCATTAGTGCCATCAATGGTACCACCAACCCAAGGCTTTATTTCAATTATCAGTTGGGCTCAGTCAGAGAATTTCCAACAGCTCAGGACGTCCTCGGGGAGGCTTTGATTAGAGTTGGAATTTATCGTAGATGGGACGTTGCCTGCCCGTAACTGCCATTTCTTGTGATCCTGGCATTCTGAAGTGCAAATGAAAACGAGGGGAGAGTCATTTGTCGTGCAGTTTGGACCAAGGCCCCCTGTGTTCCCCAACACCATGTGTTGGGGAGGGAGGGAGGTGTACAGGGCAGGCTACAGTGGGATGAGGATGGGGAGCAAGAGGGGGAGAGAATATCATCAAATCGTAACCCGATCGCAGCGGACCTGGCTAATGAGAATGAAGATGTAATTTGGACCAGTGGAGTCTTGGAAAGAATATGGCAGAGCCCCGGGATTCAGAGATCGCTTTCACCCCTTCCGCCATTAATCACCCGAAAAACGAAATTTTAATTTCAAAGAGTGTTTTTTGTCAGCCCTATTTCCCTAGCCTCTCTCTCCTCCTGGGCCTGTGGTGCAATTTGTGCAATTTCTTCGGAAACTATCTGTTCCAAATGGAGTCAGAAAGGTCATCCTCTGACCTCTTAATGAGAACGAGTCATCCCAAACCCAAACTGCCACAAATTGCCAAGCTAGGCAGGTTCGTCTTGGCGCCTCGATAGTGTATTCAGCAATTAATCATAAGGTACTCTGCAAACTACACAGTTCTCCACAAGGATTTGCCCACCACCAAAACTCTGTGGTAATTGTTCCGACTGGAAAACTGTCTAAGACAAATTTGACCGATCTGACATTGAGATTTTATTTACCCTCCCCACACAAATTATCCTCGGCTTTTTCCAAGTTTAAACCAATGTCAGAAAATTATGCAATACAGCAAATTATTTGGAATGAAGATTGGGGATATGAATATTTGGAGAGGGTAATATGCAGGCCCAGTGGGACCCTATTATTTCAATTATTCAAATGTGCCTTGTCAGGCCTTCATTTCAATTCACATAGGAACTAGTCCGTAACTCAGAATTTCATTTGTGTCTGTAGTTGTTTCATCATTAGACTATGTGGCACATGTCAGGTTTTTTTTAGTATTAACCCATAAAATGTTCAATTTGTATTTAGCCAGAAAATTTTCTCTGATCTCAAAGAAAATATTATTTTGATAATTTTGGGTCTTTGAAAGCTTTGCTGTCCCCAGTTCTAGCTTCAGAGGAAAACTTATTAGATTTGATGCTATAGATTTTGTGTTAATGCAATCATTACAAAAGTTCACAATTTCATTTTTTGTCTAAGTTAATTTCCAAAACTTATAGATCAGCATGACATTTTTTGTTGTAAAAATACTTAAATCTAGAAATGTTCTTTGGATGGAGGAAATGACAATAAGACATATTTCATTTTTGAACGCTTGCCAGATAAAGGACAGAGTAAGAATGGGTGTGACAACTGTATGCACTTGCTGTTATTGTCTGTGTCTATACCACAGGCCTTTTATTGCTTTGTACAAGGTACAGGCTTTGTTTATTGCAAATAGGATAAAACAAGTCAATGACAGCTAGAGACAAGTTAGTGACAGCTATAGACGTGGTAAAGAGTATTCTGTTCTCAACAACACTGTCTCCAACCTTTAAATAAAAATTAATAAGCTAAGTTTCAAATTTCAAATTTAAATTTTTGTAATCAATGCTTTGAGAAAATATGAAAAAATATGAAAGAGGGGCTGAAGAGAAATACTACAGTATGAAATTAGCACCCAGTGTCAATATCACCCCTTGTTATTGGCAAGCCCACAGTTGTAGGCGAAACAAGGTGGGAAATCTGCATGCTTGTGATAGGACCCCCAAGCCAGCAAGCAAATTAAGTTCAACAAATAAAACGATTGGCATTGTGAATCAAAAACTTGCTCCGCCTAGAGTCTCAACATTGGTATTGTTGCTATTAGCCTATGCTAACAGGTTAGCGCCCTCTAGTGCCGCGATCTACTTCACCCGAATATGCCTTTGTAACTAAGCAAATAAAACAGATCCCAATTATCCCTAGTAGGTTTCTGTCAAGGAGCATTGGCATATTATTATTGAGGAATGAGAACTCGTTTGGAGAAGTTTGGAGATAGTTTTCAAACACTTTTGCTTCTCATTCTTACCTCGCTTGGCTAGTGGCTTTTATTTGTATTACTTGTATTGAAAATGTGCATAGAGAGTGTTTTTTCTTCCACACAATATCAAGTGGACCATTGTTCCTCTGACAGAATAAGAGTTCCTAGAAAATACAAATTGTGAAGAAATATTTGTGGAGGTTTCTGCTTATGATTATCACCCATACTTTCAATAGTAGTGGGCTACTTTAATGAAGCTCTAATAGCACTTGTCACTTCTCGAGTGGTTTCAGCAAATTTCTGGTGTGAAAAGACTTTTCATTCTTGCTAGAATGCACTGATGGGAGAGCCAGGTACAAACCTTCCAATTACCCCCAGTTGCTGTGTGGCCATTCACGGTCGTGATTAGGGTGTCAAAAATTATTATTGAGCCTGTTAATTTTGGTGTATTATATGTTATTCCTTTGTTCGTTCAACTTTCATCCCCATGGCAAACGTGCTGCCTTGTAGAACAAAGGCGGGATAGGCTTAGCTTGATGCTTTACATGGTTTGTTGGATGTTTTAGGAAATACTGTTTTTTGCTTTCAGGTTTATCAATGCAAGACGAAGAATTGTTCAACCAATGATTGACCAATCAAATAGAGCAGGCAAGTCATCTCAGCTGGTAACTGTGTTCAAAAATCGGAGGCGTAAGTCGTCATCAGCTGAATCTCTCGGCCTCTCCCCAGGTAAAACTCGGACTTGTGGTCCGAAAAAGAGAGAGCACATAATTGCTCAAAACACAACTAGGAGAGAGTAGAGATCACTGGAGAGAGGGAACTGACCTGTGACCTTGACCTAAACTTGGTGAAGGTCACTATCCTGCCCCCCAAGCCCTTCCCTTCCCCACCCACAAGAGATGATGACTTACCTTTCCAAGATATGTGCATGCGCTTGCAACATCTAGATCTAGTCTCTTTTTTTCTCTACTCTTTCTTCACCATTTTCCTGTGTCTCTTTTTTCCAATTTTGGATGATACTCGAATACTCATAAATTGCATGCTGCACTTTGCACTGTACATTGACCATACTCCAAGTACAGCCTCTGACACATCAATCAAAAGACCTGTCAGAGATGAAATAACATTTTAATGGAATACCATGATCATCTGCTGTATATCAGTATTAAATGGACATATTTGTGTCGGTCTGATCACCCGGTAACATGATCACAGGTAATTAATATCCAACAATAATCACCACACAATGTGTTTTTTAAAAGCAAAAATTATTTTCTTGTCTTATTTTATGATACCTGTTTAAATCATGCCTGACTTTTATCAGCATGTCATCAACTTCTTAATGAAATGGACAACATAATCTGACAAGCGAAACGATTTCCATCTTTCGTCTCATTAGTAGGGATGCTATATAGGAATAGGAGTCTCACTCAAGATGTGGGAACTTATAATTCACAGATGAAACATGCTTGCGCATTGCACTAGCTGTCAATCACACATGCATGAAAGTGCAAATTTTCCAAATCTCCTGCCGAAATTGGCATGTACCTTTCTGTCGGCACTACCTACTCCTTGCTTTGTATGTACCCTCCTGCTGTTCCTGCTAATCTTTCTCTCTCGTTAGTGTGTAGACTTTTCTGTCATTGTTTAAGCTTGTACATTTCCAACTGACAATTCCGAGAACCACATGCTAGTAGGTCCCACTGACACTTGTACATATCACAACTGTCACAATATTTGCTATAATTACTCAATAAATCTTCTTTTAGTGGTGATGATTTTTATTCAATTGTTGCACTTAATTAGTCCAGTGGGAGTCCAACTCAAGCAAGTTTTTCTCGGAATGTGCGTCTGTTTCAACTTGATTATTTAATTATCCCAATCAGACTGTTTGATGTTTAATTCTCTGACTTTTTCAATGGTGGGGCAAATTACAATAATCAAATTTCCATTTCATGTGATGATATGGGCACTATGCCATCTACGACAAATCGTATGCACCATTAACGAAGATGTGAGGCTGATTTTTCAAATTTGTACATCACTGAGCTCTTACAGCCAAGCCGCCATACCAGTCTTTTAGCCAGTTTGTGAAAGAATTTTAAAATGTCATTTGAAAAACCAACATTAGCCAAGGTCTCCCTGGCTACCCATCCGTCCCAACACAGTCGTCGTTATTGACAGAAATCAACGATCTGTGATTGATTCTGGAAAGTGTTTTGAGATGTTTTTTCATTGGCTTAAACAAGGGTACCTGCAGCTTGCCGATTCCTCAATCTGAGCAATTACTCACAAGCCTGCCCTCTACTACAGTCGACATGTTCACTTCCATTCACTCTCATCACGATAAACCATCATAGATCACTAGTCAAGCAGATAAGAATTGTCAGGAATCTGATTGGCTAAAATTTTTCGAATCCTCTGTGGCCTAAAATTCGGAAGCAGCATCGAAGGCTCATTTGAGCAGTTTTGCTTTGATTCCAGTCGCAGTTAATACGGGGCTATTTTATTTTCTCACCATCTTCACAGTTAATGTATAAATATTGGACAAGTGGAAATATTTTGAGAGTTATTTTCCAAATTAAATTGCACATTTAATTGATCAATAAGGCATGCCCACCTCACCTGCATGATGAAAAAGTTGTATATCTCTCAACCTTTGACCTGCTGCTGTGTGTTCTGGTGGTTTCTTCCTGCATGATGTCAATCAGCTGTCAATCAAGATGCAATGTACAACCCGAATATGGCACCATAACAGTGTTCATTTCACAATTAAAAAAAACTGAGGCAATTCGATAAACAAAACTATTGGTATCTTTAACCTGTAACAAAATGAAACACTGTATATCTTATCTTGATTGACATTCTCTTTTCATTATGATAATACTGTTTTTGTGGCACTTTTTCAAATGCATGAACATCTTTATTTACAATTTGCCATTGAACAACATGCCTTCCCTGTACAAACATGGACTCATCCTTTCATTTGCTGCTGGAAGAGTCCATCTTGTACAGGGGGATGCCAGAGGCACCTCTTCAGTTTCTAATGTCCGTTCTGCCGTTCTAGGTCCAGGAGCACATGCAGCATACAATCCGGAGGCAGGGATGGGTTACCTTGACAACCAACACATGCAGATGGGAAGTAAGTACATATGCATTGTGACCTCTATGGCTGTCCCCTGGACATGTGTATCTATCATCTCTCAATCCAGAAATAGCTGTTTAATCGAATACTAAATGTCTTTATCTATTTTATATGTAATCACTTATCTTGTTTAAATTATATAATTTTGCACCTACTGATACGTGATTTTGTCTGTGTTTGTTTTACATGTACATGTACTTATTTTTTTGGTCCAATTTAATATTTCAAAAAGATTCATGAAGTAATTCTTGATGAATCTTAAGTTTGATCTTAAGTTTCTTAGTTTCTAAGTTTCAACAAGTGAAAGAAATTCTGATCTAATATAAGTTTAAACACTTCACAGCCAATAATCTTACAAGAGCACTTGACTAAGTGTTGTGTGTGTATTTCAGGGTTGCAAGGCATGCATGGAGCGGACATGTACGATCCGATGAAGGCAGGGTACTCCCACCTGGAAGGATCACAGCGCTATGATATGTTGGGGGTTCAGGGGATGCACCGGACTGATATGTATGCACCCCCTGTCAGCGGGTCCTATGCACAAATGTCCCAGTTCAGCCCCCCTGTGCACTCACAAGCAATGCTGATTCCTGGTCATCCACATCACATGATGATGGGGCACGGCGCCACAGGAATGGCTCACCATGGGATGTCCGCAACCCAAAGTCCTCCCCTTCACGCCAGCATGGACGGAATGGGACAGCATATACAAGACATTCACGCTGGATAAACGCTCAAACGGGTTCTGTCAAAAGTGTGACGATTCTTGTTGATCCTCGTTATATGTTCCGAAGAAGTGTTTTTTGGGACAAAATTACGAGGGATATTTGGCTGTGGCCGAGCGTCGCCAAACCGGCAGCTGTGCACGTGCTGTGCTTGATTATAAAACTCTGTAGTTGTAAACTACGGTGCAGCCACATGCATATGTCGTGACGCGACCAGTTCAACGGGTGGATGGATGAACGGAAGATCAGACTTCTGGGAATGTGGTGGTGGTGGTTCACAGCAGACGCTGCAAGGGAATAAGATTCCCACAATGCTTTAGTTGACATTTGCGGTGTGGAGTTTTGACTGGAGGAGTTCCCAGGAGCTGTGCTACAGTGTGTAAATTCTAACAGGACCTAGTCACAGAGGACATTGATCATAATGTCTTTTTGCCATTGTTAATTTCCTGCCCATGCCAACACGGTGACATGACCAAGATAAGACATGGCACCGCTAGAAAAAAAAAATATTTTCATTCAAAAAAAAAATCATTCTTAGCTCCTGGTTTTGAGTTAAAACTTTATTTTCTCTTGAGACAAATGATATGGTTAAGTTTCCCCTGCCCAGGATATGATATGACTGTTATCACTCCCATTCCCACCCCTCCCCTGTCAAGTAGCAAGGAATGTGTATGTACAACATTTATAGACTCCGATACTGGTGACATGTTTGTCCTGCAACAGCTTTACAAAGACTCGAAATACCTCATTTCAATGTTTTAAGCTTCAAGAACTGTGTTAAGTTGGAACATAAAAATGTACTTGCATTCCAAATTAACTTATTGAAATTAACTGGAGCTGCAGAGCTGCGAGCAAAGAGGCACGGACGCTTTATGTCGCTCCAGATCTCCTGGAGGCTGAACAACGCCTCAGATGTAGCCCACATCAGGCAGGGCCTATGACCAAAGTATTTTTTAGTCTCTCTATCTGTCCTGATATGGACAGGTCCTAAGGTCTATAGTATTAGCCGGTTGTTATGTTAATGAAGAACCCAGTCATTGAACCAAAATGTTCATCTGGGTCACCATGACCTGTGCTAATTGGGTCACCCTGACCTCACTGTCCTTTTCAAATTTGTACATGTATCATAGAAAAATAAGCAAACTTTTGCTGTGTAAAACTTGGTGCAAAATTGTTGAGTATTTAGAATAAATGCTGTTGATTTGTGGAAGTTGCTGCATGGTAGAGATAAATGGTGAACATGTAGATGTCCACCGTAACAATCTGTATGTGACCGTATTATTCAACCAAGATTTGATGCCCACAGGAATAAAGAATCATTTTCAAACAATTGCTCATACCAAATGTTAGTATTTTGTTTGCTCGACATTTTTCTTTAAGTGTGTAACTAGGTATGTCATCTTTTCAAAGCATTTGAAATCAGTGAGTAATCTTCCCATGACATTGATCACAGATTTGGACATTTGACAAGAGCAAGAGACCAGGAAGTACACTTCAGTTCTCTCTCTCTTGATATCACAAACAGCGACGTTTGTTTGCATCAGGTGACCGATCTGTGATGAAAGATGCATGATGATAGGTATCACTTGATTTATGGCATGGCAAGTACAAAGTGTATTCTGTCAAAGTTTGCATTTACAAATCAGTCCTTCAAAAATATTTTCTTGTATCTTTTGGGTAAGCTGAGACAAATTCATAAAAGAAACCAAATGATTTCTTCATAATATTATGTGATTTAGTCAGTGAACATAGAAACATGTTTTAATTAAGTTTTGTCTTGGACAATTAAAAACTAGATATTGTCATTCACAAAATAACTGTATAGAATAAATAATGCATTTTTGAACATAGATTATGAGAATATATTCAATTCTCAGTACCCAGAAGTCTAATTTAGTGTCAGAAGTCACTGATCATTATAAATAACAAAACCCATCTGAAAATATATATTCCATTATTCATAAGGCAGGTTGCTTGGTTGTTTCTCAACACTCTTTTCTGAAATCTTTCTTAAGAAGGCAAAAGAATGTGTTATATTTCATAAGAGGTTCAGAAAATATGAAAATAATACAAGTTCTTTGTCATCTTTCTTCTTATGTCTTTAAAGTAGCCATTAATGATTCTCACACAAATATCCAAACTGCTTGAGCCGATGTCTGACCACATCATTCAGGTCTCCTACTAAATGTTTCTCTTTAAAACCACATATTTTGAACAAACTTTAACTATATGCAGAGTTAATGTTTCTGAAATGTATCTTTCCATCATGACAGAACAAAAACAAGTTTCCAAGTTTAAGAACTATCCCACCATACACCTCTTTTGGACAGCCAATATATCATACATTTTGTTTGGAAAACAATACTGAACAATGAAATTGCATAGATGTGTTAGAGAACTGTTGGACATATTAAAACAATACTGTCAAAATGGCAGTCAGAAATATCAAGGGAGACTACTCTCTAGACAAATCATCATGGGAGATAACTCTGTAATGCTAGCTGCTGCTCTTATGTTTGATGTCAAGCACAGGAAGACAATCAGAGAGGGAAGATCAGGGTTTAACCAGATTTATAACATAAATAGCCGATAATATTTTTATTACAATGTACAGTTTTGTAGATACTGAACATACAAGTTCCTTCATGTTGTGGAAGATTCACAGGTCATTTGTTGTATAAATCTAACTCTGTTTATAGTGTTCATACCTGTCTGTATTTCGTGTATTAATGTCACTCTGCTTCAAGTCAACATTTTGGTGTAGCTCAAGCCCATCTTTGATGTTATTGTGAGAAAAAAGGGAAGTAACTGGGTTAGATATCATTGAACCTCGCTAGACTCTGTGTGACATATCAATTTGATATTTACGTGTAATGTGCAAGAGGTGCAAGTATTTATATTTCTGTTGAAGTGATGGTATGTATATATGTGGATTTTGTCTAATCACATTATGACGACATGCTTCCTGTGTATTAACTGAGTTCAACTTCATCATAATCGCCAAAGAACTTTCTTTTCCTCATTTTCCATATCTAGAGTATGATATTAGATTATTTCTGTTCAAGATATGCAAATCTTTATTTCACTGAAAATTGATAACTGTGTTTTCTATTTCTGTGATAATCATTCATCAATAAAAATCAAATTATTTGCCAAATTTTTATTTTCCATTGCCAAGCTTTAACTTTGCTGACTGTTGTTCAATACACTGATTACACCAAAGATTACTATTTATTTGCTTCAAATTGAATGCCACACAAAGTTTTAAAAACATGATCTGTAATTCATACACGGCAGGTTTAAATATTCATATTCCCTCCCTGTATTCCAAATGGACTCGTCCAAAGAAAATAGAATTTAAGGTCCATTATGGGAATACAAGGGAGAGAGAAACTCATTCAGCTGTACTCCACTTTCTTTAGCTTTCAAATAATTACAGACCAGATTTTTGGTTTTGCCATGAACTCTTGCAGAAATAAAAATATCTTTATTATGGAAATAAAATTTGTGTTGGTTATTTTTACTTGTTGATATTTGAAGACCTGTGTTCCAGAGGAGTGACTATGGCATGGATTGTTCATAGTCCCCAAGTGGAATATGCCAGCTGCGTTATTCACTTGGAACATGTGAGATAGACAGTTGTTTTGCTGGAAGTGTTAGAATTTGTCATCATTTGGTTGGTTTGACTTTACCTGATTAATAAACAATTTAGCAGTGCAATGCAAATTGTGATGCCAGTAGCAGGCTGAACTGCCATAGATGCTGGACAATCTTCTTCAAGTCTTCAGTTGTGTGAGTCGTACCCTCCCAAAGGAGTTGCCAACTGCATAATGGATATTTTCACAAGGGGTATAACATTAGCTGTTCTGTGCAGACACCTGATTATGCAAACATGAATGTGGAGTGCTGTTGCTGTTGACAAGGACGATGATACCTGTCCCGCGGGGGACTGGACAACACAGGTGATGTGTTCTGTACCCCCAGGTTTAACAAGGAAACTGTGTATAATAATAACATCCTTAACATCTTGTGTTAAAACTTGAAACCAGTATTGTAATGGAGGTGAATGTCTGTACATCTTCACCACAGACGCTCATAGGTCTTGTTGCCAGGTCATTCAGTCAGTGCCATTTCTTGAAATTGGCTTGATATTGCAGCTATATGTATTGGGGCATCCTGTATATATATGTAAACTCTGCACCCATATCATACAAGAGCTCCACAAACCTTGCACACATACTTAAAACACTCACCCACAACCTACATATATCCCCACTCTCTCACTCCACACACCTCGCACACTTCCTCAAAACACACTCAACTCACATACTTCCTCAAAACACACTCGCCTCACACATAAACCCCAGTACCTTACAAACATGTCCCCCTCTCAGCTCATGTGAGTCCTCCACACACACCAACGCCCTCAACTTAAGTAAATTTCAATGCAGACATACCTTGTGCACATCACACACCACTCACATGCCCTCCTTCCCACATGTGACACAAACTCTCCACAATCTCCACACTACAACCTCACACTCATTTCATCTCCCAACCTTCACCAACCTCATGCCAGAACTCACAGAACAGACTACCGCCGCACACACTCCGCTCATGTCACACACCCTCCACACATCTCACACACTCCTTTCACATCACACACACTCCATACATCATATATACCCTTAACCAACCTCACAAACAGCTTTCACACAACTCACACACACCCTCCACCTACCTCGCACACCCTCCACACACCTAACATACTCTTCACCAACCTCACAAACAGCTTTCACACAACTCACACACACCCTCCACCTACCCCACACACACTCAACACAAATAACATACTCTTCACCAACCTCACAAACAGCTCTCACACAGCTCACACACCTTCCACCTACCTCACACACCCTCCACACACCTAACATACTCTTCACCAACCTCACAAACAGCTCTCACACAGCTCACACACCTTCCACCTACCTCCAAACCCTCCACACACCTAACATACTCTTCACCAACCTCACAAACAGCTTTCACACAACTCACACACACCCTCCACCTACCTCACACACACTCAACACAAATAACATACTCTTCACCAACCTCACAAACAGCTTTCACACAACTCACACACACCCTCCACCTACCTCACACACCCTCCACACACCTAACATACTCTTCACCAACCTCAGAAACAGCTCTCACACAACTCACACACACCCTCCACCTACCCCACACACACTCAACACAAATAACATACTCTTCACCAACCTCACAAACAGCTCTCACACAGCTCACACACCTTCCACCTACCCCACACACACTCAACACAAATAACATACTCTTCACCAACCTCACAAACAGCTCTCACACAACTCACACACACCCTCCACCTACCTCACACACCCTCCACACACCTAACATACTCTTCACCAACCTCACAAACAGCTTTCACACAACTCACACACACCTTCCACCTACCTCACACACCCTCCACACACCTAACATACTCTTCACCAACCTCACAAACAGCTTTCACACAACTCACACACACCCTCCACCTACCTCACACACCCTCCACACACCTAACATACTCTTCACCAACCTCACAAACAGCTTTCACACAACTCACACACACCCTCCACCTACCTCACACACCCTCCACACACCTAACATACTCTTCACCAACCTCACAAACAGCTTTCACACAACTCACACACACCCTCCACCTACCTCACACACACCCCACACACCTAACATACTCTTCACCAACCTCACACACATCCTACACATAACCCAAACTGGCTTTAAACACACATCACGCAGCCCCATCCCCCCCCCCCCCCCCCCCCCCCACACACACACATACACACACACCTCACATACACCCGCCACAATTGTACACACACACCACACATATACTCCTTCCACACACAACATACTTACCAACCACACACAAATCGCACATACCTCACACACGCCCGCCACAGTTGCACACACCGCACACCTATTGTACAGACACACAGTCCCTCCACACACTTTACACACCTTACATATCTCACACGCACCCTCCATACACTTCACACACCAACATCACACACTTCACACACACCTCACATACCTCACACACCACCCTACACACTTTACACACCAACAACACACAACTCACACAGATCCTCCACACACTTCACACATACTTCGCCTTCACCTCGAATACACCCGTGACCAACCTCACACAAATACTTAACACACTTCAGACACCCTTCACACACCTCACATACCCTTCAGACATCCAAACAGAAGAAATCCTCCACATACCCTTCACACATCCACAGAGGAATCCTCCACACTTCTCACACACACTCCACACACCCCTCACATACCCTTCACACATCCACAGAGGAGTTCTCAACACTTCTCAAACACTCCAAACACCCCTCACATACACTTCACACATCCACACAGAAATTCTCCACCCGCCTCACACACACTCCACACACCCCTCACATACCCTTCATACATCTACAGAGAAGTACTCCCCACTTCTCACACACACCCTACACACCCCTCACATACCCTTCACACATCCACACAGAAATACTCCACCCGCCTCACACACACCCTACACACCCCTCACATACCCTTCACACATCCACAGAGAAGTTCTCCACACTTCTCACACACCCTACACACCCCTCACATACCCTTCACACATCCACATAGAAATACTTCACCCGCCTCACACACACCCTACACACCCCTCACATACCCTTCACACATCCACAGAGAAGTTCTCCACACTTCTCACACACACCCTACACACCCCTCACATACCCTTCACACATCCACAGAGGAATCCTCCACACTTCTCACACACACCCTACACACCCTCACATACCCTTCACACATCCACAGAGGAGTTCTCCACTCTTCTCACACACACCCCACACACCCCTCACATACCCTTCACACATCCACAGAGAAATACTCCACTCTTCTCACACACACCCTACACACCCCTCACATACCCTTCACACATCCACACAGAAATACTCCACCCGCCTCACACACACCCTACACACCCCTCACATACCCTTCACACATCCACACAGAAATACTCCACACTTCTCACACACACCCTACACACCCCTTACATACCCTTCACACATCCACAGAGGAGTTCTCCACTCTTCTCACACACACTCCACACACCCCTCACATACCCTTCACACATCCACACAGAAATACTCCACACTTCTCACACACACCCTACACACCCCTTACATACCCTTCACACATCCACAGAGGAGTTCTCCACTCTTCTCACACACACCCTACACACCCCTCACATACCCTTCACACATCCACACAGAAATACTCCACACTTCTCACACACACCCTCCACACCCCTTACATACCCTTCATACATCTACAGAGAAGTTCTCCACACTTCTCACACATACCCTACACACCCCTCACATACCCTTCACACATCCACACAGAAATACTCCACCAGCCTCACACACACTCCACACACCCCTCACATACCCTTCATACATCTACAGAGAAGTTCTCCACACTTCTCACACACACCCTACACACCCCTTACATACCCTTCACACATCCACACAGAAATACTCCACCCGCCTCACACACACCCTACACACCCCTCACATACCCTTCACACATCCACACACAAACCCTCCACACACCTCACAACACTACTTACGCACTCTCTATAAATCCGCTCTCCAAACTTCACACCCACCCTCCACGCACCTTCACATCCCCTTTCACCTTCATTCCCACACACCTTGACATACACCTGCACTCACATCTTCACATTCATCCTTCTCACACCTTCACACCCATCTCCACACCAACACACCCACAACGCGTAGTCACTCACCATATACAGGCGTACATACACACACAGCACATATACACACACATACATACATATAAACACACATACATTAACTTAAATATACACACACATACAAACACACTTACGACCACATACACACACACGTACATGCACACACATACACACACTTACATATATACACATTTACACATAAAAACACTTACACACACATGTATAGACACACACAAACATATAGACCCACACATATACACACAACCCACATACACCTTCAAACACACTCACTTCACATACAACTTCACACTCACACCAACTCATTTCACATACACCTTCACCCGCACCCCCACTCGCTTCACATATACCATCACTCTCACCCACACTCACTTCACATACACCTTCACATCCACCCCCATTCACTTCACATACACCTTCACACTCACCCCCACTCACTTCACATACACCTTCACTCGCACCCCCACTCGCTTCACATACACCTTCACACACACCCGCTCTCACTTCACATTCACCTTCACACTATCACCAACTCACTTCAAATACACCTTAACCCTCACACACACTCACTTCACATACACCTTCACACACACCCGCT